ATTAGGGTGACATTTAAACCTAAAACCTCACTCACTAACAAGCTGTGTAGATTAAAAGATCCTATTGACTCAATTAAAATATAACTACACACAATAGAGTGTGGCAGAGTTACAATTCCAAAAAGTATTGTATGTAGGTTGAGGGAGAGAGGTTGATCACTGAATCTTTGTGCATTAAATCCACATCAAGCACACATGTTATAGGAATGACTCAACACCACTACCAGAGATATGAAAAATATTGCTACCAATAAAAATCAGGGATAAAAAATAATGGGATCAATCAATCCCTACAAAGAAACTCCTGAAAATCAGTGCGATGCTCGCTAGTGACTGGCTGCATCACGAAGTTGCCTGGAGTCCTTCTAGTGCGAAGTGGTGACCAGTGGGATCTATCCGGTAGGGAGTGAGAACAGATACTCGCCGATCACATTATCTGGTCGGATCCCAGTGGTTGAATGGTCTACGAACTTGCCTTGTAACCGGAAGGTCCTGTATTCGAAACCCAGTGGGTGTATACTACCGACGAGTCCCAAACTAGGACGAAACAGCCTTGCAGTAATCCTTGCAAGTTTTCAATGGTTCCCCCTCCAAATGATACCATTCCACGATCTATCTTGAAACAAATCACAGCCTTACAAACAGACTCATGTGCAATAATGGGATTATAGAAAGCGAGTTGAAAAGTTGTGTGTGGATTAGTGCCTTGAAATGATTATGAACAGCAACAAAATTATTGTGCTCAAAGCATTATCAGTAGGTAATACCGTATCAAATAAATTTACTCTATGATTGCATTTCCAAAGGACTATTCAACATCTGACTATTAATTACCTGTCGACTTTCTCGATTGTGGAATTATTCTTCAAAATTTCCCGACATGCTTTTATTCCTTATACACTTTGATTGATTTTGATTACTCTCCTAACTATAACTGCTCACTGTTTGTTGTCAATTAACTATTGTGTGGATATTTATGTATATGAATACCCTTACTAAATAACTGTATACCTTTGATGTGAACTTACCCAAAAAGCCAATGTCCTTTTGCTGACTTGAGTGTTCTTTAATCTACGCTGCACCGCATTGCCTCATATTGCATTCATTACATGGGAATTTATATATATCATTTTCTTTAGTGGTGTATTGTAAGTTTGTGAGTTTTGAGTGTTGAACGATTGGAACATGATTGGTGGATTACTGAAGAAGGAATATTCCTGACGATAACCTGTTGCTTCTTTGTCAGTTTCTACAGTTATATATCCATAAAAAATTACTGTTATTGACAGCACTGATGTGTGTTTTTTTAGAGGTTACGTCGAATGACTGACATCAGAATTCCAAACAACAGAGAGGATTGTGGTTTACCTCAAACAACCGATGCTGTGTGTAAAGAAGAAACAGGTCCAACGACTATCGTAGCCCTCACCAGCTGCGGAGTCTTCAAATTCACAAATATCTTATTACGTCGACCTTTTCGATATAGAGCCGTCCATCCTGTACATATAAATTCCCCTATCCCTAGTTATTAATATTATTATTGTTCCCTCGGGTTCCGTGTGGAACATAAGTCTTCAACAACACATCTCCACTTTGTTCTGTTTGGTGGTGTCCTCCTCAGATGGCTACACGGTTGACGATAATCTCTTATTTCCTCCTCTCCACACAATTTCCTTGTCACCCTTGCATTCATGACCCACTCGGGCGATGGCCTGCTTTGCGCATCATGTCATTCAACGGCCTCCTACTCAACATATGCCCGATCACTCCATCTCCATTTTCTCCTATATATTTGTTGAGCAATCGGCTGTCGCCTGTTGGTTTGTTACACTACAGAGTTTCTTGTTGTTAATTCTTTCTGGCCGGTAGTCCAGCCATTTGGTTTTCAGTATGGGACCAAGGAGTGGCCTGTTGGAAATCCGTTTCGTGACACGCCAGTCAAGTTTCTGACCTGTATAGAAGAACTGACTGACTGACTTCCCATTTGTGTTGAAAATCCGAATCTTGTTCTTTATGCTGAGATAGAGTCCAGGAGATTTCTAAACTGTTTTTAGAGTGATGAAGGTGTATCTTGCCTTTCTGATTCTGGCTGGCTTTGTCATGTTTATCCGTGCCGTGTGCCAATGGTTGAAACCGTACTTCCTAGCCGGATCATTGAAGGAAGTAGTCTGGTCAAATTCCTTTCCCTGATGGTGATTGGCGCTGGTTGTTGTTGCTGTTGGTGGTGGTTGGTTGTTTGGTTATCTTCATCACCTCCATCTTTTCTATGTTCACCTGGACGGAGTCCTGTCTTCGCTGCCAGCCTCTTCCGCCACTTTGTTGGCTTTTGCCTGCAAGTCTTAGAGTTTGTGCGTGTGACATTAAATATCAATCATCCATACGTGAAATCCAGATCTTCTGGAGTTTTATTTCGATGGTCCAGCGCATTCCTGTCTTCTCACTCCTACTGCACAGTCTGACGCATAATCCAGTTCACCACAGTTAAGAATATCATCGGTGATAATGGACAGCTATGACCTAGTGTCGTTTTCCCCTCGTGTTCACTTCGAACGCCTCTCTGAGTTTTACACTGTGGAGCACCTGACACGTCACATCGTCATAAAGCCAGCTGCTGAATGCAGTTGACAAAGACTCGAGGTACGCTGCAGTGTTGAAGTAGTTTCCGAATTACTTTGCGGTCAACGCTGTCTAGTGAAGACCTTTTCGACGTCGATGAAGTTAAGGTAGAAAGAGGTTTGACTTCCATTCTATGCTTTGTTCAACGATGTTGAGAAGTAGAGTTTCAATTTGATCAGCCCTTTATCAGTCCTTGATTTGCCCTTCCTGAATCCAGCTTGTTCTTGGCTGGGCGAAGTTCCACATCCAGTGCATCTTTCATTCTCTGCAGGATGACGTAACCTAGTATTTTACTTGGCATGGACAAGAGCATCATTCCACGCCAGTCAGTTCTTGCAGAGTGAGGTGTAAGTCGCCCTTCTTTGGTAGCTTGATTCATAAGAATTCATTGCTATATATTCGTTGTTATTCATAACCTTTCATTCTGGGATATTTGTGCTCAATTTTGGTGTTACAGTTATACCCATTACCAAAGACACACATTTTGGATTATAATCTATTAACAATCTATTTGCAAATAACTTTAGGAATTCTGATATCAGTCATTCGATGTAACCTTTAAAAACACATTAATGTTGTCAATAACAGTAATTGTTATGGATATATAACTGTAGAAGCTGATGAAGAAGAGAAGGTTATCGAAAAGAATATTCTTTGCTCGATAATTAATCAATTGAAGGCCAAGTTAAACTTTAAGCACCACTAACTAACTACCAACGGAGTGCGACCGCACCAATGACCTTGAAACGCTCACTGAGCAAGTTAGTGAAACCTGGCAAATAATGTTGTCATCATCAATAAAATATCCTCATTGAAGTGATATGATATTAAATGGGATATCTGGCAAGTTTCAGCTTAGGTTTGGGAAAGATTAAGTTACGCTTTAAGCCAAGAACAAGTTAGGGTTAGGTTGACCTAATAAAGGCGACATTAGGGTTGGTTCGAGTTAGATTACAGTTAGTTTAGAGATATTTTCACGTTAGGATTAGGTTCAGGAAAGATCAGGGTTATTGTAAGGATTAGAAGACCTAAATAATTACATGCATAGAATGTGGTTAAATTACTCTGTTGATGATATAAGAATAGAACTTGTGCACTGTGGCGGTAGAGTATAATTCCATTGTGGGTAAAATTTATTTTGATAAAGTCTCACAGTGTTGTTATACAGTAATATTTACTGAGCAATAAATTATGCTCGAAACGTAATCAGTAAATATTACTGTATAACACCCACAATGGAATTATACTCTGTTGATACTCCAACCTAAAACTGAGAGCTTTTTTTTATCACATGTGAGAGGAAGGTATCCTCTGTAACACTTTTATACAGTTTTTGTGCAATTTTTTCATAAATATATATATGTATTCCATACACAAAAATGCCTCCTTCACGTGATTGGTGGGTTCGATCGAGGTCATTCGCTGATTGGTAGTTAGTTAGTTAGTGGTGCTTAAAGTTTAACTTTGCCTGATTGAAATTCCTAATGGTGATTTTTTTTTAACCAAATAATTTGTTAACTTTATAAACAGAAAGAGAATTTTACTTGACCTGAATTTATTAAAGATTGTGTAGGTGGTATTTACAAACACTTGTAAACACCGTTATTCGAGAATGAGATTTCGTCAAGCACTAATATCACTTAGAAGATTGGACTACTGTTGCGTCTTAGTCTGGGACTCTCTGGCAGTTCACATCCATGACCCCACTCCATAAGAGATGGAACCTGGGACTTTCGGACCACAAAACCAAGCTTGCATACCATCATTCAGCCATTTAGGCTCCTGGAATTCATTGATATGTGAATTCTCTCTTTGTCAATTCGTGAAGCATAGCGCTAACCTGAACCAATCAGTACCGTCTTTGAGCATTCAGTCCACACATGATATATGTACCTCACTGGTGATGACATCTCAGCGTAGCTTTAGAACATCAATCCCCACAGTAGCCATCAGTCGGCTTGAGATTGACATATTTAGATTATGCGTTTTGCGAGGATTTGTATAATTCTTAGTAGAGTTAAATAAAAGGCCTCACGTCATGATCACTACTCGAAACACACTAGAAACAACCAAACGCCCAATCCCACCTCCAGAACATGATACCATAACCAACTGATTACTTGAGAATATCTCCAACACTGAGATAGACTCAAAAGTCAGAATAGGGCATATTATACTTACACAAAACCCTCAGAAATTCAAACCAGAAATAAATAACTCTGATTGGTTGTCTGACATCAAAAATCCCTCAGAAAGTTAAGCCATAAATAAACGAATCAAAACTGTTCAATCAGGTTATCATATCAGTATATGCATAAATCACGATTTAACGGAGAACACACACACTAATTACCTTCTCTTCTTTATAACCCTACACTCTACAGCCCACAGATTATCCAGGTAGACTTCGTGAAAGAATTCACGTCTATCGACCAGTATCAGCCTCAGGTGGTGTTATGGCAGGAACACTACAATATGATGAATATAGTCGCAACGGGACACTGAAACCACGTAGACCCAAACCGATAGCCGAACACTACAAATGCAGTGAAGTTTATAATTGGCCACCGAAATTCCCCAAGTTGAAAAGACGTAAAACCCATCCACCGAAACAAATTCATACAGGACAAGATCATGTGGTGATAAAATCTCAGAGTAGACAACCTGTGAACTATCAAGCAACTACTGTAACAAATCAAACTCGACCATCTGAACCCATACAGTATATTAAGGTAAGTCAATAGAATTGTAACAATTCATTAGTGTTATTATTACTAATATTATTATTTATATTATTATTACATTATTCTTCCCTTGGATTCCAACTGGAACAAGAGGCCTCAGCAGAACATCGAAATTTCACATGTATTATTCGATTGCCTCACACCATCTAATATCATCAAATCAATGTGCACCGTGATGACGAGCTACCTAGAATGGTGACCACATTGCAAACCTGACTGATTGATAGAATTCAACATAGAAAAAAAATCCCCATTTAGACATTTAGTAAACAGAAAGATTGAGCGAAGAAATATTTCCTTTTCAATTAGATCATCATCTCTGGCTCTACTCTAATATATTCTGTATAGCATTTTTATTACAATACACAATAGTTTACCAATCAAGTGGCGATAAGTTTGTTAACAATAATTAAACAGTGTCAAAATGTCAAATGGGTTGATAATTAACGAAGAAAGTCAACACACATTTAAAAGGTAGAAATGGTTAGAATAAATTAATTTTACAAGGATAACACGTAATTAAAGATGAAGTGGTCAAAATAAAAATAAAATAATTTGGATAATTATAATTTAATAGGTTTAGGGGGAGGGGGGCGACGTAGTCCTGTCTTGTAACGATGGCCACGGTAAGGAAAGTGGCTGTACAAATTTCTTCTGTACACACAGGCTTGGTTTCTTCTAGTGGATTCCAACTGCTTCAGCTGTCTATAGAAGACGAACTCGTAGAGCAAAGTTAAGATTAGTTGGAATGCGATAAATAATTTTAAATGCAGTATTCACATCAACCTTGTGCTCAGTATCAACAAGGTGTGCTAAAATAGAACTACGAATAGATCTTGTTTGTTCTCCCTTGCTTAACCATGTTGGATGATGTTCGGAAATACGATGATGAACCTGCCTAATTGTACGCCCAATGTAGCTGCAGTCAAACTGGTAAATACACATAGAAGAGGCAAATTTAGGTAGTTTATCCTTATTTCTCGAACGTAGAATAGGGGTGGTTGTGAAGAGACAACGTACCTCTGCTGCATAATAAGCTCTTTTAACTGCATTCTTCAGGCGCTGTGTTATTATTTCGCTGATGTTGTCACCGAGGAACTGCAGTTTTATGAACATTGGTTTTTTCGGAACTGTTGCTATACTGACTCTCCTAGGTGCTGAATTCATATTTTTCTCAATGAATTTATCTGGATAACCATTTTTTCTAAGTAATTCTCTAATAATCTTAAGCTCCTCCATTGAGGCAGTCGTCTGATAGAATTCAGTCTGCACCAAAGAAAGGACTAGACACGTCACACTAGTTACTAACTAGTGTCCAATCAAACTACCCACTACAGTACTACAGGAGGTCAATCGCGAGCCCGACTAGCTCAGTGGTAACGTCTCTGACTGCAGGCAGCACTGGGTGACGCGGGTTCGAATCTCAGAGGAGTGGGACATGAGTTCCTTCAAGGTTGCAGATACGCCTTGCTGACTGGTGAGTGCCAACTAGCACGAAACCTGGGTCCAGGCAAGGCTTCCTGTGGCCGATTGCCTCCAACCATCTAATATCATTATTCGATTCAATCCAGTGTAGATAGCCCATAAGCTGTCATTAATTCCTCCGCTTCACACAGCTTCCTCTATGTCACCTTGGAACACATGCCCAACCCATTGTTTCCCATTGAGGTTCCACTCGACGACCTGGTGTGCGATGTCATTCAGTCCAACTATCTGATCATCAATTTTGAACCATTGAAGGCAACTGTTGATTGAAATCTTCAGTCTGTTTGAAGCACTGGCGTGACATGATTGACAGTTACTGTTATTGAGCATGCCGTGGAATCATTGATGCGCATATGGTTAAGCAGTGAATAAAGGGCATAGCCGTCACAGTAGAAATCTAGTGTGGGCCAGTTGCACATTCTCTGACTACTAGGTTTGAGCAAAGCAAGAACAAAAGTTTGCGCAAAATAAGTAAGACCAGTACCATCACTTTTTATTTCGTTGGCTTCTCATCAGCTGCTGCTTACAGCCTAAATAAATTATTATTATTAAGTTCATGTAAAGAAACATTTCAACATACTTGTAAATTTTACATGATATCAGTTAACAGAAGGCTCCGAACTTAAGGAATAATGCTCAGAAAATTACGCTTATATAGTTTTTACACAGGGAGTTCAAGTTTAAACAAAGTAAATGTGTGCATACAATGGTAAAGGAGTTACGTAAGGTGATGAGTAACTAATAAATTGGGTAACAACATAGTGAGTTCAACTCAAATCATAGAAACAAGAGGCAAGTAAAATTACACTATATCAAAGTGGAGGGGGGGTTGAGGTTAAAGCCGAAGATTACGTAACCACATAAAAGAAAGAATAAAGACATCCAGTTACCAGGCAGAGCAAGGAAAGACTGATAACTGATTCAGGCGTTTCATAGCGATTGCTTCGGTAAACTTGAGGAGAATTGAACTTTTTTGTCTACTGATAATTTTAAACGATTTTGCGTTTTTCACCTCATGACCTGTATCAAGGAGATGTTTGACATTGGCATTGTAATTATTCTTTAACTAGAAGTCTACACAGATGTGGCTTTTTCTGACTTAAGCATTTTACTTGTAAGTACTGATCCCAGAGTCCAAACCACCACCCACCTATTTTAGTCTAGGCAACCTAGTAGTGTCATTAACCGTCACACAATAAGTGTACCTCATAGCGTAGAGGGACCTCATCTAGTTTACTAACCGGTTCTCACCTAGGAGAAAGATAGATGGTTAAGTGTGAGTCTAGCGACCCTACCCTGGAAAATCAACTTAATCGCCACAGAAGGCTACCAACCACAGCAGAAATACAAGAAATAAACTTATTCTCCACTGGAACCGACGGAGTGATGGAGGCTGGTGAAAGTCTTCGGGAAGCAAGTCATTCCATATGCCTTCTTTCGATAAAAGTAAATATAGGCATGAGAATGTAGGATGTTCACACGATGTACGATGCTGGAAAGACTGTTCGGGTTACTAAAGAAATGAGAAGATATAGCATAGAAATGCTAGGAATCCGTGAGGTCAGATTGCTGGAGAGTCTATAATCTACTCCAAAAAACAACTAACAAGTTGGCAGAAGAAGACGCAGACAACGAAGACAGGAATTCAAATGAACATATAGAGGACAAACGGGATAAAGATGCCTATTCAACAGAAATAAGTATTACTCCCTTACAGATGAAATTTTATTTTAATAAAATCACACAGTGTTGTACAGTAATATTTACTGACGATAACGTTTCGAGCATAGTTTATGCCTGCTCATAATCATATCAAGGCACTACTCACACAACTTTCTTGCTTTATTTATATACATGAGTGAAAACTGATGATTAGACATTTGAATAAAAATCAATATAAGATAAAGTACATTCGGAAATAATACTAGTGTTATCAATCAAATACAATCAGATGGGAAATAAGATGTTTTTATAGTAAAATAATTAAATAACTCGTTACAATGTTATAATATGAATTGAAATACATTTTAACATTATTTATTATCCTCTGATTTGACTGGTGGTAATAATATCAACCTGAGACCGAGCACTTCGGTCCAATCAGTCAACTGGAAAATCTAAATGATAACGTTTCGAGTAATTTAGAAAAAAGCTCAGCAGCAATTGCACTGCATGCATTAACACACAACCACACAACAGAGTGGGTGGGAGAGGGTTAAGATCTATGTAGGTGGAGAGAGACTGATTACTGAATCCTGGTTCATTGAGTCTACACCCAACACATGCAACAGAAATGACTCAATGCAAATACCAGAAATATGGAAGATATTATTACCATTGTAGCACAATGTAGCACTCCAGAGTTGAAAAGAATGGAAGAAAAGTACCTACAAACGGTCTTCAAAAAGAATGAGGTTATCCACAAAATTTCATCAAAAAGTGTTTAAAGTCAAATCAAAACACCAACAACAACAAGCCAACATCAAAGACCACAAGAAAATTCATTCTACCATACATGAGAAATATCTCTGAAATAACAGCTAGAATACTGAAACCGTTTGATATAGATATAGCACACAAGCCAGTCAAATCGCTTAATTCGATATTATGCAAACCGAAAGATCCAACAGAAAAAGGGGATAAAATTAATACCATTTACAAAATAAATTGTATGAACTGTAACAAGCATTACATCGGTCAAAGTGGGCGTCCCCTTCGAATCAGAATCCAAGAACACAAATCAGCCGTGAAAAGACACGATATGTATTCTTTAGTATCAATGCATACAGACAATTATGGTCATCAGTTTGATTGGGATAATGTCAAAATCTTAGACAGAGGAAACACCAAAAGTGCAGTCAGGGAATTCCTAGAAGCCTGGTACTCAAACGAAAATGAAATTAACAAACACGTTAATATAGACGAAATATACCAACTAATAAAAAGTAAATCAGGTGACCAGAAAGTTTAAAATCCAAGTCAATAGAAAATGGTCAATACATATGTAAAGATGGTTACCAGGAGACGCAATTATATCACTCATGAAGAAATTTAAATCATTTCACTTTATGGTAAATATTGCGCTGAAGATGTTGTCCAGAAGGACGACGAAAGCTCCGCAACTAAACCAACCAGCTCAGAGAACACTATTAATTGCAGATATTATTACCGCCAGTCAAATCAGAGGAGGATAATAAATAATCTCAAAATTCTATTTCAATTCAGACACATCACAACATTCTAACAAGTTACTTATTTTGACTATAAAACACTCATCGTATTTCCCATCGGATTGTAATTGATCAATAACACTCATATTATTATTTCTGAATGTACATTATCTTATGTTGATTTTATTCAAATGTCTAGTCAGTTCCACTCATGTATATAAATGAAGGAAAAAAGTTGTGTGAGTGACTTGATATGATTATGAGTAATAGTTTGTGCTCGAAACGTGTTCATCAGTTAATATTACTGTATAACACTCCACTGTGTGATTTATCAGAATGAAATCTTCTCCATAATGGAGCTATACTCTACCACGCAGTGCCCAAGTTTTATACTTATATCAAAAATGAGTATCAGTCACTTTATCAACAGGAGAAATTTGTAAAAGGTTATTTCTCTCACATATTGAGGCAGTATTATTTCAACTACAGGCGGCACGAATGAGAATATTGAAGTCAAAACAGACTTTCATTATTCTAAAATCCCTGTGGGAATCTGTCACACGAAACATAAATAAACAAAGGTATTCATATTTTCAACACTGATGTCAAGTCAGTCATTGCCTCAATGTAGTTCAGAGATTTGGCGCGTCTGTCTCGTAAAGCATTTCTAACAGGCTGTAAACTTTTATCAATCAATAGCTGTCACCTTTGCTCGATTATACTGAAGATGAGATGGCCAGTCGGAATGGATTAGCAGGAAGGAGCTCTGAGAATGAACCAATCAAACACCTGTTACCCGACAAATATACCGTTGAAAATACAGATGGATTGGAGATACACTGAGGAGACAAGACAGCTAACTGACATCACACACCATGGTCATCGCCCTAGTGGAATCCACGTGGAAAGTGACGATTTGGATGACTTAGAGGAGATGAAAGATTATGGGCAATCATGGAGCTAACTAAAGACGTCAGCAGAGAACGGAACAAACTGGAAATGTGCTGGTAAAGCTCCATTCTCCACTCACAGTCCAGTGGAATAATGAAAACAGCGTTGTAAGCGAGTCCGAAGAGAATTAAGTTTAACTGGGTAGTTTAACTTTTAAATATTGTTGAGTAACTAACCTGGAAGTAACCACTTTTTTTGCTTTCTCAATAAATTCGAATATTTCACAATAAATTTCTTCTTCTTATTGCTTTAAAGGTCAGTCCACAAAGTCAAACTATGGGTAACAATAAACGTGATTCAAGTTATTCACCAGAAAGACAAGTGACTAGTCTTCATTCATTACAAGTAAGTATAATACTAATGATAATAACTCAGGTTTAATAAAAAAATTATTGATCTTTGAGTTATATTTTTTCCTTATGTTGTTATGCGTACTTTTGTACATTCAGAGGTAAGGTTAATGGTGAAATACTGTGTTCTGATTAATAGCATACGATATCAAAATGTCCAAACTGTGTTCAAAAAGAAAGGATATCCCCGTCACAATTTCACCAAAAAGTGTTTAAACTCGAGTCATAACACCAACAACAACAAGCCAACATCAAAGATCACAAGAAAATTCATTCTACCATATATAAGAAAAATTGTCTCTGAAAAAAACACAGCTAGAATGCTAAAACCGTTTGAAATAGATATAGCACACAAGCCGACCAACTAGCCAGCCAGTACAATCACTTCACTCGACAGAAGACAAGGCCAGCTAGGCAACAGATCCTTTATTGAGAAAATCAACAGATATTTATAGATTTTTATATACAGTATTATTAGCATTATTGTTAGCAGAGAAGCAACGTCTTCTGATTGGTTGTTTTCTTGCTGAAGGTTATTCTGTACTGCTTGTGACCGTTTCTTAGAAAGTTAAGCCATATATCTGCGAATCGTATTTGCACACGTTAAGTGTGCTGTGATTGGTTGTTGAGTTCCTCAAGGTTAGGCTTTGTTCTTGTTTTTTTCTCATGACCCCGATTCGGGACGTAAACACAGACGTAAATTGGTGTTTACAATTTTGGCTTGCAGACAGCTGTGACCACAAACCGAAAGATCCACTCAACAGAAAAAGAAGATAAAATTAATACCATTTACAAAATAAAGTATATCATGAACTGCAATAAAGATTACATCGGTCAAAGTGGGCATCCCCTTCGAATCCGAATCCAAGAACACAAATTGGCTGTAAAAAGATATGATATATATATTCTTTCGTATCACTGCATATGGATAATTTTGGTCACCAATTTGATTGGAATAATGTAGAAATTTTACATAGAGGAAACACCAGGGAATTCCTAGAAGCCTGGTACTCAAGTGAATCAGCCAGCGATTAACAAACACATATTATTATAGACCAAATTTACCAGGTAATAAAAAATAAATCACATGACAAGAAAGTTAGAATTCCAAGTCAATAAAAATCGATCAATACAGGTGTAAATCGACCAGCAGTCACGAAGATGGTTGCCAGGAGACACAATTGTATCATTCATTGAGAATTCGAAATGAGTTCATTTTACGCTAAAACTTGCCCTGAAGATGTTGTCCAGAAGGACGGAAGACGAAAGCTTCGCAATTAAATCAACCCGCTCCTCAGAGAACAAAACTAATTCAATTGTCCAATAAGATTTATTCGAACATTCAACCCCTAAGTTTCCATTGGAACATAGAACTTCAACACAGCTTCGTCTCCATTTCGCACCATGTTCTCTTCAGCCCTCTTTAGTTGGCTCCATGATTGCTCATAATTCCTCACTTCCTTCTCATATTATCCCCTCTGTGTTACCCTTGAACTCAAGCCGAAACTGCCGTTTCCTATTCGGATAAGACTAGAGCGCAAGTCAAGAGATATCACCCAACGGTCTCTTCAGAGTATGCAAGATCCATTTCCGTTTTCTTCTGCTCAATGATCTACGTGCTCGCTAGCCTTTCAACCAGAAGGTCCTGGGTTAGAACTCTGGTGGTGGGTGCGTGCTGCTGGAGAGCCCCAAACTAGGACGCGACGGCTATCTTGTACTCCCTTCAGGGTTTCCAATGGTTCTCTAACAGATGTCAGTTCATGATGAAATCCTCCAACAACTCAAACAACAATCCCTGCAAAACACCAGTACTTGAATCATAATACTAACGCGTTAAATGTTCTGAACGTGTATGCGACTCAAATGTTTGGTGATATTTTGAGCAAAATTACTACCTGTGATCACACCAGCTGTTGGGACTGTGTGCATTTTTTAATTAAAAGGACAAGTGAAATACGATATTAATTTTCAAGTACTGGTGTGTAGGGATTTGGTTGATTGGTTTTCCAATGGTTCTCTAACCAATGTCAGCTCATGATGAAATCCTGTAGCGAAATGGAAAATAAGAAAGGGTGGGGGATTTTTAATAAGAATTCACCTAGGCCAAGGGAGACACAAAGGTAGAACAAACTTCTTTTGTATGTAAAGACTAGGATTGTTCTCTCGAACTAATTCTCAGAGCTTTGGCTATGTGTTAAAGGCGGGTTCAAATTCAATTCGACAGAATGCGACAGATAACTTTGAAGGCACTACTTCTGTCCACTTGGTCACCGCTGTCTTCAATCAAATGAGAGAAAATAGAACTTCTTACAGATTTCACTTGGTCTTTTCGGAACCATGAAGGAAGTTGCTCATTAGTACGTGTGTTGAACTGTCTAGTTATTCGCCCGATTTGACCTTCTCTGCAGGAACAGCTAAATTGTTTAAATGCTCATAGAAGTGGTGCAACTAGGCAGCTTGTCTTTGGCTTGAGCAATCATAATTGGTCGACAGCTGGAAAATAACAAATAAGGGATGGTAGCGGCAGTATAAGTCCGTTTTTGATGGCTCTCGATAATCTTAGATGTAGGACTTCATTAGCCACCTCCAGATCAGTATAATCATCGTTATTACTGACATTCAAAACACTTAACACACTATTGTTGTTATTATTAGTGGTGGTGAAGAATACTCACGATTTGGTAAAAGAATGCTTATTTGCAATTTGGTATCTCTATGTAGCCAAATTATGTACACCTTGTCTTCAACGCACCATTTTCACAGATCGTCGGTGTTGCGCCTGCTACTTCTGCCCTTCCTTCGTATTTGTGTTTCTTTGCGTTCCTTTCACGTCGTCTCCCATGTATCTCCACAACGCTGTATCATTTGCTTTGTCGGACATCAAATCTATCTCCCTGCCATTTGATGTTCGCATTCTGATGGACGTCTCTATATTTGTGGCTCAGGTGGATGATTTTGATGTGGTTGTGTTCTCTGAGCTGGATAGTTAATTTGCGAAGCTTTCATCACCCTACTAGGTGACATCTTCAGCGCATACTTCAATTTGAATTGAAGTGAGCTTTTAGATTTCTCCACGAGTTTATTAATCATCTCTCCTGGTGACCTTGGACGTGATTGGTTGTTTTTGTGTGTTTTCACACCTTCTAGGTTATTTTTGTTGTAATTCATTGTTTCTTTGACTTGAATTTTGACCCTTTGTGTGTGACGTTTCTTTCGTATTGCTTGATAAATTTTCTCTATCTCGATGTGTCTATTGATTGATGATTCACTGGAATGCCAAGCTTCTAAAAATTCTCTAGCATTCTTGTTGTTTCCTCTGTCTAATATCTCAACATTGTCCCGATCGAACTGATACCCGTGGTTGTCTGTATGTAGTGGTATGAGGGAGTGTATGTCATGTCTTTTGATTGTTAGCTTATGTTCGTGGATACGAAGACGAAGGGGACGTCCACTTTGGCCAATGTAGTGTTTTTCGCAGTTGTTACAATTTATTTTGTAGATGATATTGGTTTTATCTTCTTTCGCTGTTGAGTCTTTTGGTTGACATAAAAATGAGTGAAGTGATTTTGTTGGTTTGTGTGCGACGTCAATTCCTAAAGGTTTGACAAGTCTCGCAGTGACTTCTGATATATCCTTTATATATGACAGGGCGACTTTCTTTGTGCTTTCCTTGGGGGCTTTTGGTTTGATAGGTTGGTTTGGGGGTATATGTCTTTTGATGAAATTCCGCGGATATCCATTCTTTTGGAAGACGCCCATGAGATATCATTCTTCAATTTTCCTCAACATAGGGGTGCTGCAATGAGTTTTGGCCCTCTCGAATTGTATTTGTATGCAATTCCTTTTGTGTGTTATTGGATTGTTGCTGTTGTAATTCAGTATTTGATCTGTGTGAGTTGATTTTCTATAAACCTGGTTTTCTAATTCTCCTGTGGTTGTTCGCTTGACTAAGATGTTAAAAAATGGGATTTTGTTCTCGGATTCCTCTTCTCTTCTGAATTTGATGTTGTTGAAGACGTTGTTTACCTAACTCGTTTCTTTTGATTATTACAAATGTGTCGTCCACGTAACGTATCCAGTTTGATCTTTGGAAGGATTATGTTTTCGAGCCGTTGCATCACTGCTTTTGCAATCAAACGTGATATTGGTGATCCCATGGGTGTTCCTTTGACTTGTTCATATATTTGGCCGTTGAATTGGAAGTACGTTGTTAGGCATAGGTTTATGCATTCCATCCGGCTTGTGTGTTGCATTTTTGATTGTTGTGGAAGGTATTCGTCGTTGCCAAGTAATTGTTCCATGGTCTCCTTTGCTAGTTTTTGTCCGATTGAGGTAAATAATGCTGTAAAGTCGAAGGATATCATTATTTCTTGTTCATCTATTTAGATGCCTTTGATTTTCTCTAGAAATTGTATGGCAGATTTGATGGAGTGATCACAAGATTCCGTTAGGTGTTTCAGTTTTCTGTATAACTCTTTGGATAAGTTATATGTTGGAGTTCCTGGGAGCGATACAATTGGTCGTAATGGGATATTTGGCTTGTGTATTTTGGGACGTTTCTATATATACTACTGATAAATCTTATCAGTAGCGCATGCCACAGTAATAGGATTTGACCCACAAACAAAGACAGAAATATCTAATCAACATCGTAAACATGATGGGATCAAAAGTTATCAAAGAAGTTTCCATTTACAAACTGAAACTACTCAGAACACAATATACGCGTAATCTGCTCGATACCATAAGCAGAAATCAAAAGAGGCAAACATATTTGCACAAAAAACTATATACTACTAATTGATTGAGATGAGTAGTTTTATACCATTCATGTTAACCAATAGTGCTTACTGGCTAGATGGAAATAGTCGAAACACTTAGTGATAGCTGTTTCTCTCGTTTAGGCCAAAGCTCATTAGAGGTGTGCCACCCCCCCCCCCCGACTATTCGACTCAGCACAGAGAACTGAATCCGCATTGGAACCAAATGGGTCCTTCTTAGCTAATTCAGCCAACTGGTAGAGTCAAATTCGTACTTGGTACAGGCTCACCTAATAACTTAATGATCTCTATCCAGGGTATGACCGGATATATTACACTGAAGAGTACAAGTCTCAGACGAAACACCAATCCAGAGAGTTTTACATTTTATTATTTCTTTAACTTATGTTGTTTCACGATGAAACCCCAACTGAAGGTTAGTCAAATCTTAATAAATTTAACCGTATGAGAGTATAATATACATGACACCTTCATATTAATTCATCTTCTTTGTCTTTATCAGAGATCAACTTTATTAGAAAAATCGAATCGAACAGTTGAACCAGGCTCAAGAGATCAGCTATTCATAGCAGATTACAAACATATGCCAAGTGATCAAGTTAGTAATCCTTGATTGCATAATTTGCACAGTTTAATGTTTAAATAAGTGAAATTATTTTTTCAAGCTGGCTGAGAAACTGACTCCCCTTGTAGACAACCACTGACAGATGTCTCATCCTAGTTTGCGGCGATCCAGCAGTGCGGTCATCGGTCCCAGAACTTTAATGGTTATCAGAGTACCTGCTTAACTATTCAGACACTCGGGACAAAATCCAATTATTATTATTGTTGTTCCCTTGGGTTCCTAGTGGAACATAGGGCTTCAACTACACGTCTCCACTTGCTTCTGTCTTCTGCTGTACTTTTCACCTGCATCCATGTTAGTCCATACTGTTTCAACTCTTCTTCACACGATCTCCTCCATGTCACCCTTGGACGTCCCACTCGCCGCTTCCCTTTCGGGTTCCACTTGAGCTATGGCCTGACGCGCGATGTCACCCAGTGGCCTCCTCAGCGAGTGTCCAATCCATCTCCACTTTCTCCTGCATATTTGTTGAGCGATTGGTTCTTGTTTTGTTTGTTCCCATAGTTTCTTGTTGTTCTTGTTCTTTCCGGCCATCTAATCTTCAGTATGGAGCGAAGACAGTTGTTGATAAAGGTCTGCAACAGGCTGTTGGGAGTATTCTTTGTGACCCGCCAAGTTTCCGATCCGTATAGAAGAAGTGACTTGACGTTTGACAAAATCCAATGGCTCATGAATAATAAACTTTGTGAATTCGTCAATGTCACCGGTAAATAATTGATCCTCACCTCCTTCCCCAGCCCCGCAAAACATATTGGCACACCCCGCTGTTCAAAACTTCTCATCCCGTAGTCAATCACTCACTAGTGGGCATTATTAGATTAATTCTGAAGTTCTGATTAGCCAATGAGGGGATTTGATGGCTTTCAAGGTTGACCACGAATCGACTCCTTATTCGGTTTTCACTGGTTCTTTCAGTGACATCAGATCATGGTCAAACTCCAAATCAATTGAATCCCTGAAGAAATCAAACACACTTAAAGCGTATTTGTATCATAAAAAACGATCAAGTTATGAAGAATTAGGGGATATATAATTGACTATTGTCTAATGTCAGAATTTTCCGGAAACTGTACATATTTGAAGTGACTCCTCACGATTAATTTTCTGCTTACCTATTGAATTTTGAACGCAGATGTCACTCACTGTATTGCCTCACTTCAAATTAGACTATGGACTGATAGAGAGTTAGAGAACCATAGAAAATCATGAAGTACTAGACAGGCATTTCGTACTAGTTTGGGGCTCTTCAGTAGTGTAAACTCATGACTTTAGGAATGATCAAACCTTGGACCTTCAGTTTACGTGGTAATCTCATTGACCTTTCATCCACTGAGATGGATGGAGTGCAGTAGATAGTCCATAATTCTAACTTCCGTCGATTGGTGATTTTACGGTGATTGCTGGAGAATGGGGACTTTGTCTGAATACTTGATCTAGTGGTCTCCATTGGTTATGAATGCTCACTGGAGCTCCAGGCAACCTTGTCTTATAGCAGTATGAAGGACCTGAGTTCGATTTGTGGTGGAATCATGGGTGAGTACCACTGAAGAAGTACAGGACATGACAAAAAAGCTGTCCAGTACAACTATTTTACCAGTTCTCCAGCTGACATCAATCCAAGATCAAACTTGAAACTAGCCAAATCTCTATAAACCAACTCTTCAAAATTGTTATGATGCTCGCTGGTGACAGCTGGCTATAGGCAGGAGTCGCTTAGAGTTCTAGTGGGAAGTCTTAATAAGTGAGGTGCACCAGATCGGAAATGAGAACAAACACCAACCGATGACATTGTCTGGTGGTTCCCCTAAGCTCACGAATTGGTGGAAGTTGAAATTTTCTGGGCCTGTGGGCCAAGTCTCAGCCAGAGAATGGTCTGTGAGCTTTCCTTTTAATGGGTAGTTCCTGGCTTTAAACCTCAGTGAGCGAAATCTCTGTCCAGTACTCCGTGTTAGTTATCAATGGTTCTCTAAATAGCATCAATCCCTTATCAAACTCCAAAGAATTTACAGATATTCAAGTAGGGATTTGGCTGATTGGTTACAGGACTTCATCATGAGCTGACATCGGCCAGAGAACCATTGGAAAACCAGTTGGAAGTACTGGACAGCTGTTTCGTCCTAGTCTGCGAGCTCGTCCAGTGTTTGGACCACGGTGGGTGCTCACTGCTGAAAGGCTAGGGGTCGCGCTTATGTCATGAATTAGCAGAAGTTAGAATTCATGGGCCAGCTTTTGCATCGGGTCTCACTGGCTCCATGGTATACAAGCTTGCCTTGTAAGCAGAAAGTCATGGGTTCGTACCCCGGTGGACGCATGGTGCTGAAGAGCCCCCAAACTAGGCTGTCGAGACAATTGCCCAGTAGCCTCAGCTGGTTTTCCAATGGTTCTCTAACCGATGTCAGCTCATGACGAAATCCTGTAACCAATTAAAAGATATTTGGAATAATAATAATAATAATTTTCAAAGTAAGGAAAGTGTTGGTGCTAATTTTTTTCAGCTAAGATTCCACTTTTTTATTCCTTTACGTTCCCAGTGTAACATAGGGCTCCAGACTTTAGCTTTGAAGTTTCGGTAGCAGTGGTGTTTATTTTTACAGGATAGGGTTGTTAGCCTCATGCTCAACCTTCTCTCTTTACCAGTCTTATTACTGGCTTAGCGAAGTAAAGCAGTGCGTCAGCCGGGGATCGGATCCCATTTTTGTTTATCTTTGCTTTGAGTTCCATATGGAACGTAGGGTTTCAGGCTTCAAGCTCGATGAAGTTTCCTTAGTAGTAGGGCTAATTGCCTTCACTCAGACTCAACCTCCCCTTTCCTTTCAAGGGATTAATACTGGCTTATAAACCAGGCAAAGCTCAGCTGTGTGCATCCGCCTGGAATCGAAGTCAGATGACTTACGTGGTTATTAAGCATCCTACCACCGATGCCACTGTGTACTGCCTAGGAGTCGAATCAGGGTCGCAATCAAAGGTCAGGGTTGAATGATACCGCCAAATCATCAACTATATCACTACTGCTACTACAGATGACTTTAAGTCTCTTGTTAATATCAAGTTTATGCTCGCTATCCGCAATCGTATCACTATCACTAGATTGGGAGATTTATTTATTGTATCAAAACTTCTATCAGAAATACACCAGAGTAGAAACATAAACCAGCAAGTATTTTTTGTTTGCTCAAATCCTTTCTTTTTCTTTCTTTCATTTTTTCTCAGTTTTTCATTTTTTTCCATAACGAAAGACTGTAAACAAAATTAAAACCAATACATATACATATTTATTGATTTTTCCTACAAAAAATTAGACATCGCCAATGCTTATTCGTTACAGACCACAGGTAAACACTAAAAAAGTAGAGTCATTATAGTACTAATATCAGTAGTATTGAGAAAAACTAGAAAAAAATAATATTAGATTTCATTAGTTCACATATAATCCTGTCTTTCAGTTTTGCTAAAAAATGTTCTTCTTCTTATTCTTGTTATGGTGATTTCTTCCTATATATTTGTGTGCCTATATGCGATTTATGTATTTATAAATATGCATTTCGGTAATGCATACTAACCCCAGTGATTCTAGTTTCAGTCGAGTAGTTTCATCAAGAAGTTCCAGCACGTTATCACCTTCTAGATAACATCACTTCAGTGCATCGTCTTCAATATGAAGTGTGTAGAGACGAAAACCGACTTTCTGTGGTCCTTCACGTTCCCAGTGGAACATAGGGCTTCAAGCTAGAGGCTTGAAGTTTCTGTAGCAGTGTTTATTTTTACAGGATGAGGTTGCTAGCCTCATGCCCAACCTTTCTTCTTTACCAGTCTTATTACTGGCTTAGCGAGGTAAAGGAGTGCGCCGGTCGGGGATCGAATCCCGGACCATGTGCATGGTCGGCGAGCGTCCTAACCACTATGCCACTGACGCACAAAGGGGAGGCGGTCTCCACGCGCGGACCGGGCTGTCACATGGCCACCATTCACAGGCGCTATCCCGCTACCGCACCACGCGGGGACTTTTGCCTGCTGGGTTTCCCCCCTGGGCCGGTGCGCCCCTCCTTAGTCGACCTGGACAACCCGTCCTCCGACAGGTCATCCATATCGGCGCCGTGCTTAGCGTGGACGCCCGATCAACATGAGCAGCCATATGCCAGAACTCCCGGTCCCGCGAAATTCCGCACCCTGGCCTCCAAGTAGCTAGATTACAGGCGTAGGTACGTACGTCGGAAAGTTTCTTGAAGAAAACACGGTCACAAAACGTTTCAAAGACGGTTAAGAGGCGGTAATTTGTAGTTGGCATCTATGTGTCTAGAACTCAAGAGTGACTCAACAGTGCCGTTAGGCAGCTAAAGAAACAAGTTAACTATGAAATGAAATTAGTCCACCGCGATTCAACTTTAAGAATAACCTTAGAACAAAGTAGAATATCCACAATGCAGCGGAATCGAAAACTCCATCGACAAGAATCACACGCCAACGAATCTCCGCAGACAATCCAAAAATCAGAATGAACTTCATTCACCTAAATAAAATCACACCGTCAATAAGATCACAAAACCGAGAATCTTCAAGTTACAAGGTAAGCTGGCGTTAAATTCGCCAATTGGTAGAGGTTGGAATTCATGCGTTATTGGATCGGATCCCATTGGCTGAGAATGGTCTACGAGCTAGCCTTGTAACTAGAAGGTCCATGGTTCGAACCCCAATGGATGCGCACTGCTGAAGAGTACCAAACTAGGGCGAAACAGCAGTGTCCAGTACTTCCGGGTTGGTTTTCACTGGTTCTCTAACTGACATCAATCCACCATCAAACTTGAAATAAACATATGTACATACAATCCTACTTAGTTCACAGTCAATACACATACCCACACATTTACACATAAGCTCTTCAAACGATTTTTTTCTCTCTGATTTAATTGGGGTTAATCCAGTTGAGTGAAAGTTTTATTGTTTAAAATGCACTTATTTCTTGTGGTGAATATGCT